CCGATTTCGTCTGAGGGTCCGCACATGAAGATCGAGGGTATGTTTATTAGGGCGTCGTTAAGATCAACCAAAGTTCCTATTTTTCACTGTAGCTGTAATCAGACACATGATTTTTTTAGAATTTCTGCTAAACTATATATTTGCGCCTTTTGAATGTGGTTATTTGTACGAGTGTATTATAAGGGTAAAAAGTGAAACAAAGATCCTCCGGTAAAATTCCCGCGCTAATTAGGTAACCACTTAAAGACAGTCTATTATAATAAACTGCGTACGTAAAGTTCCTAAATAAATGAAGGATATACAATCATACATACTTCAAAAATTTATTAAATACATACAAGTAAACGTATGCTCACACAAGCATTTATCCAAATATTGAGAAATGCGCGTTTATATATATCCAATTGTACATGTATTTGCTTGTGCATGGCTAATTATACGAATATGTACAAATTTATAAATATAAATTTATTCTAAATAAAATAGTAAAATGTTGTGGCCAAGAAGAAGAACTAAGGAATAAAATAGACCATCATTTTGTAAATCATACAGTTCAGAATGATGATAATAATATTAAAAAGAAATTAATTTATTTTATTTCTATGTGTAATAATCACCTTGTGATTTACTAATGTAATAATAATGGTTAAGTTTTTGTGGCACAATAAAATAAATATAAATATATTTAAAAAAATTAAGTTATAAAAATAATACGTTTGGTATTACGTGAAAAATAAAAGATGAAATAACTAATTATGCTCTTATGACTAAATATTACGCAGTTTATAACGAAAGTATCTTTATTTATTGTTTCTCCTTTTTTCATTCTCGCTCTCCTTCTGTCTCAATCTTAATTTTGTATTCATTTTGTTTGATAATTAGTATTTTCAAAAATAATAATTGAGTGAAAAGTTATTCAAATACAATATATGCTTAAATCTATATTCGTTTAAGAACTTATTTTCATAAAAAATGGATCGGTAAAAGCAGCAATTTCTTTATAATTATTTGACAAAAAGTGATGCCTATGGCAGCGTAATCTTTAATATGTCTAGTGTTAGTGTATTATCTAATTCATCACTGGAGATGGACAGTGATTCGTCAAATGATGACGGATGGAACGAAGAGTGTAAAAAATTGAAACACAAGTTTATGTTGCCAAATGAATTCTACAAGAATTTATTAGCAAGTGCTGTTCTCGGAAAAACCGTCCTAAATCGTAACATTAATTTTAAGGGTAATTTAAATACTTTAGATACAACCTTAAAAGAACTTAAGGATATTAAAGGATTAACAGTTAGCAGCGTGCCAGCTTTCCCGAGAAACTTCACTTTTCACAAAGAGGACGCGAATGAGGTTAGTTTAAATGTAATTTTGAACTATTTTTAGTGCTTAATATGCAACAAGTGTATACATGTTTATTAGCGGTTTATGTAGGTATGATTTGAATAGCATATTAGAGCGATGATCTATTTATCTGTTTGATGATAGTTGCAAATCATTAAATTGATATTTATATATATATGCTTGAAAAAATTAAAACGTCTTTATTATACTATTTCATTTATACTATTTTACTAACTCTGGACATATTAATTTATAAATGTCTTTCTCTCCCTTTCTCTATCTATTTTTTTCTATACCTTCAAATTAAATTATGAGAAATATTAAGAATTGTACATTTGTTTATTGTCGTTAAGCTCTTTATCATAAAGTGCTATAATATTACAGGTATAATATATATTAATTTGTAGTTTAAAACGAAACGTTCTCCAAGATATTGAGACAATTTTAATACATTAAATTATTAAAATAAAAATACATTACATTACAAATAAGAAGTCCAATTTAATAATTTATACACAATAACTATATTAATAAAATATCGATAATTTATTATAAAGTAATTTTTTAAAACATTAATTTTCTAATTCAAATTTATAAAGTAATTTATGTAATTGTAATAATTAACATCACATTGTATAGCACAGTAACACAGAAAGGTATTAATTTAAGAAATATTAATGAATTTTGTACACAAAATGTTATGTTCCTTATTTATTTATTTTTACATTACATTATATTACGCATTACATTCGCTATTTAATTTGTTTAAGTTCAAACATTTTAGATTACTATATTAAAATAAATTTTCATGAAGTTATATATCTATAGTCCTATATTCTAGTTCTATATTTAACAATTTCATTAATGGTAACATTTTGAAATCTATTTAAAAATTTTACGAAGATTAATAAAAAGCTGTATAAAGTAAAACTAAAAATAAATTTATGTTTTGTAAGTAAATAATAAAAAATAGATATGTTTTCGTATACTTCAATGAATAATCTTATGTAGTATAGTTATATAAATATATTTCATTTCTACTACTGTAATAAATAAAAAATTTATTATCAAATTTAAATTTAAAATTACAATAGGTCTATAATACTAATATATAATATCAAAATACCTATAATTTTATTAATTTAACATTTTCTAAAATTAAAATTAAAAAAGTTTCTAATCAGATATTTTATAATCATTTTCGATTATATGAATTATTTGAAGTATCTTAACTAATCCTGTTAATATTATATTAGTATCTTTTTATTAATTAATTGAATTTTAATTAATTATTATTGAATTTATATAGTTTTCAATAGTCTAAAAATAAAAGAATATGAAAAATTGCTAATATTTTAATGTATTGGTTTCTTTTACTTGCTAACCAAATTCGTTTTGTAGTGAATGATATTTTATAACTGGCACTTTAAAAAACTGAAAAAATAGATGTTCCACAATACGTTAAAAAATTACAATTTACATTCTTTATGGAATATATAAACGTATGTACTTTTTCGAAAAGTACCAACAATGTTAAATTACATATTTATTTCGCCAAAATCAAAATGGCCTATATCACAAGTTCCATATATCATAGGTTAATTACTGATGAAATATTATAGCACTATTTATATTTGATCGTTTAAATAATTAGCTAACATAAAGAAAAACTTTTCATAATAAAGTATATTTCAGTGTACTTCCAACTTTTTCCACTGCTTCTATTTATATTTTTTTTAATTTAACATTTTTTTAATACTTAAATAATATATATTTTATTTTTATTATATTAATACATTTTATTTCTAGAAATATTTTTATTTATACAAATATTAAAATTTATAGAAACTTGAGCTGTTTTACGCAAATTAAAATATTCTCCCTTGTATATTTCATATATAAAACAATATATTTTTAAATTACATTTGTATGATTTTATTTTTTATTTATACTGTTTGTTTTCTAAACATAGATATATGAATAACTTTATTAAAAATAATGCAATCTATCTCTGTTTACCACTATTACAGGTACATAAATAAATTAATAATTGTTACAAGAATGAAAAGATTTATATTATTTTAATTTTAATGAAGTTAAAATAATTATTTGTTAGATAATATTTCTAATTATAAGCTAAACAAATAAAAATATAGAATAAAATAACTAACTAAACAAACGATATATTACTATAAAATATATATAAAACAAATCATTATCATATTATAACTTAAAAAATTTATTTAATTTAAAACAATTAAAAATGAAGTTATGTAATATTGTTTGTATAAAATTTAACATTATGTATTTATATTTTTAAATACTAATTCCCGTTGAATATAAAAATGCAATTGGACGTAACATAGAAAATGTTTAAACTACAAATCAAAATACAAAATAATTAACTATCAAAATGGGACTAGTAAAATGAAAATAACTTTTAAAAATTCGAATATTTATAAATATAAACTTTAGACAACAGATATTATATGCAACTAAATTTTACAATCTAATTAATATAATAACGCTGTTCTAATATAATAATCCGAGAAAGCAACCACAAAGTAATTGAACATTTGTACAGGGAATTTAAATAACAAGTTGAAAAAATATTATTTTTAAAAGTAAATAAAATACCAGTATAAGATTTTTTCTTCTATTGGTTTATGTTTTCTTAATAACTTATTATGATTTGTACATACAATTTCATAAAATATTTTTAAATTTTTATGCATTTATTTATAACAATATAAAAAATAAAATTTTTAATATTTTATATCTATCTACCTATGTATTATATCTGTCTACCTATGTAACATTAATTTTAGTAATTATGACTAAAGTATAATTACAAATTTATTAGTGTACAATTACACAATATGTTTGCAGATAGTTAATGTATTAACTCTTCGTTGTTTTTTTCTGCCTTTTAATATTTGAAATATATATTATTATTTAATATGTTATTATTAATTTTTTTTTTATTAATACGAAAATATTTTTTTTTAATTCGTAAGCGAATATTTTATGATTTGATATTTTGTTATCGATTGACGTTATCAACAAACGTTATCAATTGAATGTATTTTTCCCAAATATGAAAAACATAAGTTCTTTTAAGAATATTATTTGGAAAGTTACTTAAAGAAAATTAAAATGTATTTTTTATTTAGAATTTTCGAAAATAAAAAATATATTAGTAACTTAAATAATTATTGTGTATGAAAACCGTTATTATATTTATAATTATTTATTTACTTTTTCTAAGTATTGACAATACATCATATAAAAATTAATGTTAGTTTAACTTAGAAAATTATTTTTCATAAATGTAAATTGGCTGTTATTGCTTTACATACCAAGAAACACAGTTATTGCATATGTGTAAAATATATTCAGAGTTTATCGAGTGTTTAAAAATAATAAATTATTCTTAAACAACTATTGAAATTTAATTTGTTAAAACATAAATATATTTATTTCAAAATTATCTAATAATTTTGTTATATGTTGCAAGCATATTATATCCTATATTTATTAAACTTGATCAGAGAAATTTAATAATGAAAGTTTGCAGCATAATTGAGTACGATTGCGTATACATTTGAAAATGAAATAAAGTTAAAGGCAGCTGTATAAAATTTTAATTTCAGAAAGCATCTTTTGCATGGTCAGAAGGGGGTGAGGAAGGTGGAGGGGGAGGTAGTAGTGGTGGCGTCGGTGGCGTTCTTGGTACAGGAAGTACTGCTAATGGTGGTGGAGGCAGTGGGGGAACTGGGACAACTGGTAGCACAGGGGGTACTGGGGGAGGCTCAGGTAGCACCGGACTGGCCCACTGGGTCAGTGTTATGGCAGAACATATACACAATCCGCATTCAACGAGTAGTGTTGTTGGCGTCCATCATCAACAGCAGTCGTCGCCTCAGGCACCTTATCCTTGGAACAATGGTTTATCTACTGATGTGAGTATCTCTCAATTTTTACACTTTTTAGTTTTTTCACCTTTCCATGGTATCTCTTTATAAAATATATTTTACTTAAAAAATAATTTAAAATATAAAAGTATTAAAACATTTGTTGTGCGTAATACGAATTATAAAAAGTTACTTATACGAAATAAGATTATAAAATAATTAATTTTTTTATATTTTACATAAAATTTTATATAAAATTTGTCAATAAATTTTAATGTATATATAAAATATATTTTAACATATAGAATTATTTAATATTATTTGTTACAGTATAATGTTCATAAATGTACACTATGGCTCATAAAATTGATAAAAATGAATGAATATAATATAAAATATAATAATATAATAATAAAATATAATAATTAATAATAATAATTGAATATTATTAAATTATAATGACAATTGAATACCATTTTTAATGTTGCGAATTAAAAATTAAAAGTTGAAGGATATACGTTTACAAATTTTAAAGTTACCAAAATCTTCTATTTCTATTTTTTTCTTAACTTGTAGATACTTGATTAAATAAATAAAATTTTTACTAATAAATTAGTTTATTATAATTATTTTGCAAAATCTGTTTATTAAAATTTTTTAAAAATAATTTAGAATTGTCTTATGTATAAAATAAAAGCTTTTATAAGTTAAAAAAATATCAGTTAAACTAAATAAATATTAATAACAAATCTATGACTCTATTTTATTTTATCCAACTTTATGTAGCTTATTTACTAATATCAATTTTAAGAAAATCTATGCATATACTTATAATATTAGCGAACGAAGGTACTGTATTTAAAATTATAATAAATCTAACAGGGACATTAATGGATTGAAAAATATTTTTTTGAGCCTCGAAAAAATGTTCACTTGATTATTTATTATGTTGATATTAGAATATGCACGCACCATAAGTAGATTTTTAGTGTCGTGGTTCACTAGAAGAATCATAATGTTAACTGATTTTTTCGAACTTTCAATTTTTTTTAGCAAAATAAAATTTTTTTTTAATTATTGATGCTATGATTCATTTCTAAATTTAAATTGGTTGACATTTTGCTTCATTCGTCCTTTTCTATATTTATACATTTTTTATATTAGACTGATTCAACGTACTTTTATTTACAAAAATTAGATAGTCGTTACAAATAAACCATCTATTTCAATATATAAAACTATTTTTTCACTCGGTCATATGATTTATTTTTAAATGGAAAAATAACAATTAAAATATAAAAAAAATATAACTATTTTTTAAAAAAATTTAATTTCTATTCTTTTGATAGTTTTAACAGTTTTAGTAATATGTAAGTTATTTTTGTTAAAAATAATGTACATATTAATTCAAACCATAAATGAAAATTATTCCTTAAAATTTAGATAATAAACATTTTCACACTGTTATTTAATATTTTATAGTGTAAATTTTTTAAATGAGACAGAAAATTGTCATATATCATTAAAATAATATTAAGTACATAAATGATAGAAAAGCAATATTTTTTAATAAGTTAAATATTAATACGGTTTATGTTTTATATTATATTATAAAAAACATATATACAACTTAAATCGATATATTTATAATTTACGGACATTACTATTATCATTATATTACTACTACTACATTACAATTATTTATTCTATTTAATATGTAAATTTAATACTTTATAAACTTTGATTAATTAACTGCAACCAATTTAATTTGTTATAGATATAGATAAATTCTGAGAAGAATATAAGATAATGTTAAATTATTGATTAAAAAAAAATGAATCTGTCAACATTAAGGATTAATTTTTAATTTTTGTATTACATAATATTTAGAGTCGTGAATTATAACTTTTATATTAAGTAAAAAATAATAGTAAAATGAATTAAGGGAATTTAATTCATTTTTAAAATTTTAATACAGATAATATAATTGATATAGTAAAATGAATAAAATATGTTATTTATATATGATTAAAATTAACGTAGTTTAAACATGGTACAATAGATATTAACAAAATTTCCTATATATTCATATGGACTAATACGATACCGGTGTCCATAATAAAAATATTATATTACTATGATATATTATTCAATACGAAGATATACGGTCGATATATGCATAATGAGAGCTTGCTTATTTGTCAATAGTCAAATTAGGAGCTTGCAAAATGTATACTGAAGTCATTCAATCACGCGTGATTGTTAAGATAAGATAGAACGATAAAAATTTAAATGTAAATCGGACGATTCTTGAACCAACTACGTGTAGAATCTATAGCTTCATTCTTCTTGGATGTCTTTACAAGTCTATAGATCCGATACATTCTGTGAAATGTGTTGATTGTGGATTTATGCTACGTGCTGTGTTCTAATATCTCTCTTTCTCTCTCTCTCTCTCTCTCTCTCTCTATATATATATATATATATATTTATCTATTTATCTATGTATCTATTTATCTATATATATATCTCAATCTATTTATCTACCTACCTATCTCTAATTATTCCTCCTTAATTATTCCTAATGTCATCTTTAGTCTACTAGTGATTTTAAAAATAAGATTCTACGACAATAAAAAGTAATTTTAATAATCCATTACATGAAATGGACTTTTAATTCTCATAGTTGAATGAATAAATGATTTGTAAAACATTTTTTAAGTTGATAAAAATAATCATTTCATATCTTAGTAGTCAACTCTTCTATATATTAAGAACTAAATTTGATAAATTATGAATTATATCACATTTAAGACTTTTTAACAATATATAATAATATTGTATAATACTGTAATTAACCTTTTATGTTTCTTGATTTTATATAGTATATTTATTACTGACTTTTGAGTAAATAATTATTTTCGCCCACTTTTTAATTATTAAGTAAAAAGAACTATCGTATTTATTTATTAAAAATAATGTAATAACTTTTTATAATAAATTATTAGATTAATGTCAATTACAAAATGTTAAATAATTTATTATTTTATCTCTATACAGATAGATCTATAGAGTTAGAAGATCTTCATCAAATTCAAAATTAATTATCTAATTTATTTTATTTAAAAAATGAAAATTTATTACATTTCTTTTGTCACATTGTAATTATATAAAATAATTTTAAAATAGAAAATATTATTAATATCTAAATAATACCCAAATTAAATCATCTTCAGAGTAGTTCTTAATCCAAGTATGAAGTTTTAAAACATATATTTAAATAGTAGCAGATAATATATTTATTAAAAAAATTTTAATTTTTTGAAAATATAAATTCATATATTATATGAGCTTTTAATATATAAATATAAACCAAATATATTAATCAGTTTTATTTTCATTTTGTTTATCTTTATGTTGTAAATCGAAAGCTTATTAAAAATTAATTTAATTTAATATTTACTAATATTAATACGTAGCAAAATAATAATAATTAAATTATTTAAATTACTATATTTAATTTAAAATTTTACCAAATTTATCATAATACTGAATATTCATAATAATAGGAAAGATTATAAGTACATAATAAAAAATATGATAAGAATTTAAATATAAGTCGTTATGAGACTGGTAAATTTATATTTAAGGATTCGGAATTAACGGTTAAAGAAATTCATCATCTAGATGTTTAATATATACAGAAAAAAAGTAAATGCTTATTAAGAGCTAACGATAGCCTCCCCTATACTGAAAATGAACTATTCACTAGCTTAGCAACTCGTTTCTTGAATGCAACTGCGAGAATGGTCGAGATCAACTCTGGAATTCTTTTACTACCCTTATTTATTTTTTTGTATTGCAACTTTTTGCACACAAATTTTTTTTTAATGGCGGCTAAGGAACGGTTGGTTTATACAACCGACAAGTTTTTGGTATGTGTATCGAAATGCCCTTTCTATATGCTGCAAAGCTCTAAAAATTCATTTGCCAATCTTTCGTTCTATGCAGAGCAGCATCAGAGGGGTGTGAGATATAACATCTCAACCCCAATGCCATTGGCTTTTGGCTAGCTTACCTAAACAATGACAGATTTTTTGTCCTTGCTGGGCACGGACCGGTGCAATGGTGAGACAAAAATTCCGTTGCGCGATTTGCATCAGCAGGGTTCATCGTGGCTAGGCACGAGAAAGAAAAAAGGGTTAATTCGAAGAAGGGAAAAAATCACGAAAAAAACATTTTAAGAGGGAGACAGATAAAGAAGAAAAAAGACGGAGAAAAAATGCTGTTTCAGCATGCAATAAGGTACTTATTTCATTATTTTAATTTCCAAAGATGGAGAGAGCACTAAGGATATAAACCAAAGAGAGGCTTGCGGATCATGTTTTTTTACATAATCCTTCCAAAGGATATTCTCACTCAGAAACTCTCATTACTTCATGTTATAACTAAACCAAAGTGGTGGAAAAATCTACATTTTATATTTGAACAAATATTACCCGATACATACTGTTTTAAACTCATATAATCTAAAAATTACTAATATCAGATGTAGCCCCTACATGGATAGTTTCTATAAGTATATATATTTTTTACAGGAATTATCTTAAACGATCTTAACCATTTTAAAGGATTAAAAGCAAAGGTGCATAAAATATCCGAAAAGGTTTACCACCCGCTGGGTAAATGATGGCAAGGCAATGAAGGATTTAACTTACGCAGCCCACTTTGTTACTAGGGATGTATGGACGATGAAATTTTTTACCTGTCATTTTTCATTGTACTATCCAATTTCTTTTTCTTTATAAATTACCAAGTTCTTGAATATATCTAATATTACATTTTTATTCTTCATATATCAAATGTTGGTGCAAATTATATTTACTTTTATCTTTTTGACAAATTAAAAATGTAAAATGAAATTAATCACTCTTAGTATTCAATTTAGCTTTATGATTTTTATTGATTTAAATTTTAATATAACTGGATGATACATACTGATTTTAAAGTTATAAATAGATAAAATATTTATAAATATTAAATAATGC